TTGAACCGCCAGCCTTCTGGTTAGCAGTCAAGTGCTTTAGCCACTATGCTACCAGAGCTACTCATAGCAGACACCAAATACATAGGAATTGATGTAATAGGCCTTGGGTTACTGCTGGTAATCCTGCCTTCCCCTTGTAGGGTTAGAGGAGGTCAGAACATGTGGCCTCCTTGTCATTTTTGTAATCAGTGACTAAAAGCAACAATATTTATTGACTGTAGTTACAAGTAGAGTTATCTATAGATCACTGAGGTAAGAGTTTAATTTAGGGAGAAACTGGTCCTAAAAAGCATATAGCAGGTCACAAAACTATTGGTATAAACTCATTTATTTATTCTATTGCCATGTCTGAATAGTCCATTATATGCCAGATATGCTAGCTGGGAATATAGGAAGACTGAGACATAGCCTTTGCTCTCAAAGGAGCTTATACACCAGGGGTGGGAAATAAATGAGAGCCCAATATGTACCGTGCCTTAAGGAGGTAAGCACAGGGCTTCTGGGAGCAGGCACGAGATACCTATGTACGTCAGACTATGGCCCATGTGTGTGTGGTCTAAAACTTCCTGGAAGCCCCATAAAAATCAGGGGAAATGGTTTATATTTGAAAAGAAAACTTACTCTAAAATAATTATTTTATTTTAAAACCTAGAGTCTGAAGACTACTTATCCATCCAAGTTTGAAGATCCTATAATAGTTCCTCTTCAAGAATTTGCGTGGGATCAATATCTGCAGGAGAAAAAAAGGGTAAAGGGTATTTGGGGCATGGAAGGTATTATCAAATAGAACAACGCTTTGCTGGACTTACTTACCTTTGCATTGATATGGAAAAACTAAAGCGATAATTTTAGTGCAACTGGACTTTTATTTCTTAAATTATATATGTTCCCTAAATTATTTCAGCCATTTTCTCAGTCTTACTAAAAAACACAAAGTGAAACACTTACAGAATTTTCTTCTGCAAGTCATGTGATAAAGGTAAGTGTCAGACTCTCAGTGCTACTTTTACCCCTGTTGCTGGTTGTCACTCTTTCCTGCATGTCACTCACTCACGCTACCTGTGACACCCTGGCACCAGGTTACTGTGGCCTGCCATTCTTCTTGACCTTTACTCTGGAACGTGTTGACAGGGTATAGCACTGGTTTAGCAGAAGGGCTTGTGTGAGGCAGTTGCCTGGGGAGGCTTTGATGCCAGGCACCACATTCCCAGAGGGCAGCCTGTTCTAGTTGAGGCTTCCTTCTCCATATTCTTCCTCTAACAGTATCCTTGGAGAACCCCAGCATTGAAGGCTAGCAGAGCTTAGTCCAGGATGGCAGATAGTTTCCTCTTGGGTGCAAGCCTTGATTAGTTGGTAGTGCTGCCTGGAGGTTGTGATGAGGGTTCTGAGGTGGCTGGCCTCCTGGCTAAGCACTGTCTTGTGTTTGGGGGGTAGGGTATGCCTCCTGCTTGCTGTCCCTGACCTAGTCCTGTAGAGTCCCAGTCCTGGTATCTCTGCATCACCCCATCTCCACAGTGGCTGACGAAATCCTATTTCCTTTGACCCAAGTAGTTTTGACTGTTCTGTGCTTGGTCACACAAGGATATCCTGTGATCCTATGATCAAGTATCATGTAGATAGTGTTGTTTTATGAGACCACTTTACAATCTGCTCAGTCACATGAATTGTGTAAGAGACTGAGACAAGAATGTTGTAGCTGTTATTGTCATTGTTGTTGTTGTTATGTGCCGTCGAGTCAGCCCCGACTCATATTTATTAGCTGCCATAAAGTTAGTACTGATTCACGGTGACCCCATGTATCACAGGGTAGAACTACTCCATACGGTTTTATTGGCTGTAATAGGCCTTGGGTTACTGCTGGTTTTTTTAAAAACCTATTTCTTTCTTTTCTTTTCTTTAATTGTGATTTGGGTGAAAGTTTACAGAGCAAATTAGTTTTCCATGCAACAATTCTTACACATTTTGTTTCTTGTCATTAGTTGCGATTCCCTCAGTTGTAACAGCATTCTTCCTACTTCCTCCTGGGTTCCCCATCTCTGTTCTCCTTCCTTCCTGTCCTTCCTGCCTTCTGAACTTTTGTTTTGGGGCAAATTCTTGGTTGTAATTGTAATGGAAGCAGATTGCCAAGCCTTTTCTTCCACAATATTGCCAGATGGGTTTGAACCGCCAAACTTCAGGTTAGCAGCTGAGTACAAACCATTTGCACCACTTAGGGACCTTGAGTCAAGAGTATCATTTGTTAATCTCATGTCATTTTCACAGCCATGGTACATTTTCATTGAAATACATATAGAATAACAGCAGACACGTATATGATATTTAATATGTGCTAGGTCCCTGGGTGACAGAAACTATTAAGCACTTGACTACTAACCAGAAGGTTGGTGGTTCAGACCCACTCAGAGGCACCTCAGAAGAAAGTCCTGGTGACCTGCTTCTGAAAGGTCACAGCCTTGAAAATCTTATGAAGCATTTGTGCTCTGTATGCATAGGGGCGCCAGGAGTTGAAATGACTTGATGACAGCTGGTACTGCTATTATATGCCAGAGACTGTGTGAGTAACAAACATATGTACTGTAATCCTTAAAACAGCTAGGATGACCAGCCATCCCGATGTGCCTAGGTCTAAAGAGTTTCCCAGGGTATGAGAATTTCAGTGTTTAAACTGGGACATTCCTGGGCAAAGTGAGACAGTAGATCACCCTAATGACAACTTTTGTAATATGGGTTTTACTCCCACCAGCCACTCCTTGGAAGGAAGCTTGGGTGATCTGCTTCCATAGTGATAACGCCTCTGAAACCCAAGGAAGGGTCGCTATGAGTCGAGTCTGACTTCATGGCAGTGAGTTTGGATCCTCATTTTACTATAGTTGAGGAAACTGAGACAAAGTTTAAAACAACAGGTCCAAAGAAGTGGTTTGAACCCAGGATTTGAACCCAGACAGTATGACTCCAAAGTCCATGCTCATAGTAACCATTTTTATTTTATTTTGGTGAAAATATACACGTCAGAGCATGCTTCCATTTAATCATTTCTGCACATTTTTCGGTGACACTGGTTACTTACATTCTTTACTTGTGTCAACATTCTCCTTATTTCTGCTCTAGTTGTTTCGCCTCCATTGAGTTAGGCTCACTGCCCCTAAACTTCTCATCTGTGCTTTAATGTTACTGTTACCCTTTGGTCGCATAAAGATTAGTAACCACATTTATCTCTTACATCTAACTGATGACTGTATTTTATGCAGATAACACATGGCTTCTATGTTTGTTTGCCAACCACATTCTCCCCCCATCCAAGTATTTTTGTAAATGCTTTTTTTTTTTACAGCAAACATGTAAAAAAAAAATTGACATAGCAGCACTTAGGAAAATATGTGGGGGTGGGGGTGGGGGAGTGTGATGGGTGCAGGGAACAGTTGGTAAACAAGCATAGAAGGCCTGTGTTATTTGCGTAAAAATACAATATATTCGATCTATGTGTTTTTACTTAATTCTTACCATCAAACTTCGGCTGCCTAGCAGTGTTGCACTCTCCACCTACAGGAAAGATGTGAACCCATGCCCTTGCTTTGTGGTTTGTGCCCCCGCCCCTTACATACTCCCATTGTACTCTTCAAGATCGGTGTGAATTCTGTTCCCTAGTTTCCCTCCCTCTTTGTCTAGGTTACTGACCTTGCATGTTTTGTGTGTTCTCCTCTCTTTCTCCTGCCTTTCTCATGGGGGCTGAAGGAGGCTCTCTAGTTAATCACTGATGCCTCTTTCCACCTATTCTTTATTCCTTATCCTTCTTTCTTTCCCTTCCCTACCCCCATCGTCTGGTACTTAGCACCTTAACCTTGTCTTTCTTTTCAGGAAGATGTTTTGTCTTCCAACATGAGCATTGTGTTTTGTGTTACGTTCGTATTTCTTAGCACACTGGAGGTTTCAGTGACTCAACTCACTTAACTAGGTCTGAGCTGGTCTTATGCTTTAACTCACTAAACTCAATGCCGTCAAGTCGGATCCTACTCATAGCGACCCCTCTTTGGGTTTCCGAGGTAGTATCACTATGGAAGTAGATCGCCCAATCTTCCTTTCAAGGAGTGGCTGGTTGGTATGAACTGCCAACCTTCTGGTTAGCAGCCACATGCCTTAGGCACAATGTCACCAGAGCTCCTGTCCTATGCTTTAGCAGAATCTAATACCACCCGTGAGAGATGGTACTGGGGTTTTGGGGGTAAGCCTCTTTCTTCTCTCTAAGAAGGTAGCATCACGTATCTTAGCACTGGAAAGCCTTAGAAACCACCAGGTCCTACCTAGTCCCCTGTCCTGTGGGTGAGATGATATCCTCCTGTATGGAGAGACACAGAGAAGTCAAGTACATTAATATCTTCAGCTTTAGCCCCAGACTAAAGCTTACCTACCTTCCGCTGCACACTACATCTCTTTCACCAGACTAACTAAAATATCCACAAGTAAATTTTTTTTCCCCCATTTTTAAGCTTTGGGTTCTATAAAATGTGATAATATTGATAAATTTAAGCCAATTTGCTCTAGGGAAAATTTACCCAAAGGCTGTAACAGCGATTTATAGTTCAGCTCAAGCAATTATCCTCTCTTCTTGGAAGCAGGTTTTGATAAGGGTGGTGGTGGTTGTTGTTATGGACCCGACTCATCGTGACCCCCTCCTTGGGTTTCCGAGGCAGTATCACTACGGAAACAGATTGCCCCATCTTCCATAGGGGAGGTGAATAATAGAATATTAACTATCCTGAGCGGGGGAGCTGAGAATGGAGCAAGTTAGCAAGCTTTCCAAACAGTTCCCCAAGCCAGTGTTTCTCAAAGTGTGAGACGGACCAGCAGAATCTGCATTTCCTGGGATGTTGTTGGAAATGCAAATTCCCAGGCCCCACCTGGTTAGCTGCCAATCACTCAGGAAGGGATGGCGATACTTCGAAGGTCCTGGACAAAGTGGGGAAAAAATGTGGAGCAAAACTCAGAATAATAAAGACCAGGCTTTGGTTTGATAGAGACTAGTGGATCCCCCTGGAGCTCTGGTGGCATAGTGGTTAGCACATTCAGCTGATAACCAAAAGGTCCATGATTTGAACTCACCAGCCACTCCGTGGAAGAAAAATGAGACATTCTGCTTCTGTAAAAATATACAAGTTTTTCAGCCTTAGAAACTCTGTGGGGGTAGTTCTACTCTGCCCTGTAAGGTCGCTATGAGTCAGAATTGACTCCATAGCTGTGGGTTTGATTTTTTGGTTCAGTTGGGCCCCTTAGACTATGGCTCTTAGTCACCTTGCAAGCCTGGAACTGAAATCATCCTTGTAGCTCAACTCTCAGCCAAACAATAGACAAGCCTATGGGGTGAACACTAACATCAGGGAGGTAGCACTCTTTAAAACAATTAACCATATGGGATCAAAAGGACAGCATTTGCCAAGGGATAAATCTTAGATGGCAAGAAGGGATAGGAAAGAAGAACAGATGGAAATGGTAAGTGCAGGGGGGAAGTGGGAAGAGTGCTGCTACATTGTGGCGTCTGCACTCGGTGTCATGAAACACACTGTGTATGAACAGTTGGACTGAATACCAATTTGCTGTATAAACTTTCACTCTAATCAAAATAAAAAGTTAAAAAGTTCTCAGGCTCCATTTCTGAATCAGAAACACATAGGGCTCAAGAGTCTGTTTCTTGTTTTTATTTGTTTTTGAGAGTATACACAGCAGAACACACTAATTCAACAATTTCTGCATGTACAGTTCAGTGACATTGATTACATTCTTCAGGTCGTGCAGCCATTCTCACCCTGTTTTCAAATTGTTCCTCCCCATTAATATAAACTCACTGACCCTATAAATAGTTCTTAAAAGAGCCTGATGCTCAAGGCAGACATTCTTTACAATTTAATTAAGTTAAACTATTGTTGGTTTTAAGAAGACTTCAGGGGATGCTATAGGTTTAAGTGTTAATGATTATTTCAGGGTAATAGTTTTAGGGATTCATCCAGCCTCCATGGCTCCAGAAAGCCTGGATTCTGTGGGGAGTTAAAATTCTGTTCTTTATTTTCCCCCTTTTGATCAGGATTCTTCTTTAGAATCTTTGATCAAAGTATTCGCTAATGGTAGTCGGGCAAGAATCTGTGGTTTGATGACCGCCCCCCTCCTTCCCCAGTGATTCTGATGCCTGCTAACGTTTGAGAACTGCTGTCCCAAATTATTTATGGTTGTGCCAGGACTGGCAAATGATAAACCAGATGCGTCTGGAGCCACACACTGGGGAGTTAGGAGGTTGACCATCACGGTTGTGTAAATGAAAACACTTAATTCCCTTCACCCTCACCTCTTCCATCAAAAAAGCATTTCTTGACCTTTGCATTGGAAACCATATCTTACCCAGAATTCAGAACCTGTCCAAGTATGTAAACAGTAAAATGCACTTTAGAAATAAAGCCAGAGACCACATTTTGTTTTCAAGTTAATGTAATGAGTATGCTAGGCACACAGTGATTTTTATTATTAGGTAACCATCTATTTTCTATGATTAAAATATTTTTACTATTGTAAGAACTATGTAACACAACACTTGCCAATTCAATTTTTTTTGAATTGTACATTTTTTGCATGTACAATTCAGTGACAACAATTATGTTAATTATGTTGGGCAACTATCATCAGTTGCCAAGTTTCCCATCACTATAAACAGATACTCTGTGCTTCCTTAATTCCTTCCCATTGCCCCTCCTTCCTGCCCCTGTTGTTGTTGTTATATGCCGTCGAGTCGGCCCCAACTCATAGCGACCCCCCCTTGGGTTTCCGAGGCAGTATCACTACGGAAGTAGAATTGCCCCACCTTCCTTCCGAGGAGTGGCTGGTGGGTTTGAACCACCAGCCTTCTGGTTAGCAGTCAAGTGCCTTAGGCACTATGCTACCTGCCCCTAGTAACCACTAATGAACTCTGGTCTATATACATTTGTCTGTTCTAGATATTACATGTAAGTGGGATTATGCAATATTTACCCTTTTGTGACTCTCTGACTGCACTTACCATGTTTTCAAGGCTCATCCATGTTGTAACACTTCATTTCTCTTTATGCTAAGTACTATTCCATTAGGAGCTCTGGTGGCTTTGTGCCTAAGGCATTTGACTGCTAACCAGAAGGCTGGTGGTTCACACCCACTAGCCACTCCTCGGAAGGAAGATTGGGCAATCTACTTCCATAGTGATACCACCTTGGAAACCCAAGGAGGGGTAGCTATGAGTCTGATCCGATTCAACAGCAGTGAGTTTGGTTTTGTTAATATTCCACTGTATGTATGTACCACATTTTGGATTATAATATTTGTAAGATTACTTTTTAGATCATTCTTGGTTTCAGTGATGTCAGATTCTTGAAAATATTCTTAATTTTTTTTATTGTGGTCAGAATGTAATAAAGCATCACCATTTAAACATTTTTCACATGTATAATTCAGTGATATTAATTATATTTATCATACTGTGCAACCATCACTACTATTCATTTCAGGAGTAGTGCCTAAGGCATTTGACTGCTAACCAGAAGGCTGGCGGTTCAAACCCACCAGCCACTCCTCAAAAGGAAGATTAAGCAATCTAATTCCATAGAGATACCACCTCGGAAACCCAAGGAGGGGTTGCTGTGAGTTGAATCAACTGGACGGCAATGGGTTTTTTTTTTTTTTTTTTTCCTCCACAGAAACTCAGTGTCCCCTAAGCAAAGACACCTCCCCCTTTCCTCTTCCCTCCCACCCCTGCTAACCACTAATAAATTTTGATCTCTTTACACTTGGTAATCTAAATATTTTTTGTAAGTGGGATCATGTATATATGACATGACATTTGTCCTTTGTATCTAACTTATTTCACTCAGCATAATGTTTTCAAGATTCATCCATGTTGCAACATGCATATATCACAACTTTATTTCTCTTTATGGCTGAGTAATATTCCACTGTATGAATAAACCACAGTTTGTTTATCCATTCATCTATGGTTGGACATTTAGATGTTTCCACCTTTTGGCTGTTGTGACCAGTGCTGCAGTGAACATTTGTGTATAAGTAGCTGCATTCCTGCTTTCAGTTCTTTTGGGTATATAGTAGGAGTGGAATTGCTATGCTATACTGTAATTCTGGAGTCCTTGGGTAGTGCAAACAGTTAAGCACTAGGCTACTGACTGAAAAGTAAGGGGTTCGAACCCACCCAGAGGTGCTTCAGAAGAAAGGCCTGGCAATCTGCTTCTGCAAGGTCAGAGCCATGCAAACTCTATGAAGCACAGTTCTGTTCTGAAACACGTGGGGTGGCCATGAGTTGGAATCAGTTTGATGGCAGTTGGTTTGGTTTTTAGTGTTATGGTAATTCTATGTTTAATTAAATTATTTTTGAGAGCAAAATTCTAAAAGATGGCAACAGATACATATTTTTAAGATTTTATAGAAAAAATAAGTTAAATCCTAGTATTGATAACAGGCTCTGGCTTGTGAGTTAAGCAAGTTTTTTTCTTTCCTCTCATAACTTTTTTTTTTTTTTTTGTCCTTTTTCTTTACAGGAACTCAAGGGTGAAACCTGGGAATGTTCTTCCTCCGTGATATGTTTTGTTAACGATCAGTTCCTGGGTGATGCACTTGAGCTGCAGAAATGGGCTCACAAGGTGTGGGATATACTTGATGTTAAGCCCCTTGCACTTTATGAGGCACTGACTTTGGATTATTCCGCTAAGTTCTTAAGCGACACCAAGGCAAGTTACCCTGATTTTTTTTTTTTTAATGTTGGGTCCTTTAATCATTTGTACTGAGTAAGCACTAATTATTGATAACCTAACAAAAGAGGTGTAAATAAGCAGGAGACTTTAAGTCTTCAATGACCTTGCTATCTAGTGGCAAAGGACCGCGATATGGCAGGGTTTGGCCTGCTGGTGTGGTAAGCAAGTGTGTTTCATGTAGACAGGCTGCACAGGGAGGACATCCCTGTTCATGTATTTCTACTTCCCATTAAAGATTATATGCACTAATTATACTCATCATAAAACATAAAGAGCCTTTGAACAAGGTTGATCTTACCATTCATTCACCTTTAATGGGAAATATTTTCACGTAATCCTAAGTGAGAGCTGTTACACTAAGAGAATGGACATTTTGATTGAGAAGAAAGGTGACATTTTAATCATGACACATAGTTGGCAGCCAGGTCTGGGCAGGCTGTGGCAGTGGGAAGGTGTTCGCTGCCAGAGGACACTCATGAAGTGTGAGGTCTAGATGGACAAGAGACACACCTCAGGATGGAATGGCCACAGAGGTAAAAATATTTTTCATTGTAGAACAACTACCATGTGTTAAAAATAATTTTGTGTCTGGTGGCCTGTGTCCACAAGATGACCCAATGCTAGGATCTGAGCTATATAAAGGCAAAGAACTTGTGTATTCATTCCTGTTTAACTAATGCCCAAAACAGGACCTGAAACAAAAGAGATACTTGGTGAATGTTAGGTTGTGTAAGTGATGCACTTTGAAAATACTAGAAACTCTAGGATGTGAGTGGAAATTAATGTTCTAGCAGTTAATTTCCAAAGGAATAGTGGTCTGGAAGTCCGTGGAATACTCTGGGAATGGCAGAGAACAACAAAGAGGGCAGAATTAGTGGGAAAAGAGGCTGGGAAAATGAGAGTGTTGGTCACAGTTCTGGATGCTGACAATACCAAGCTACTGTGGTTCATTTAAGGAGGAAAGGGATGTGTTGAAAGGATACTCGTTATCTGACAATTGACAGGAAAGCTGGAGAACCAGCTTTTGGAAAACAGGTGGGAGCCGAGGAAGCCTGGGAGTGGGAAAACATGACCTATCATGCCATAGGCTGGGATGCTACCGTGGGTGCTGCTGGCCCTGGATTTGTATTGCCACTTTCATCATGAATAATTTCTCAACTCTCTGTGTTTTTGGATCACTCCTTATAATCTAGTGTCTCAGGTAGAAGCAACTGACTGGTCCAGCCAGGTCAAATCCTCATACCCTGGCTGTCACACCACAAGTATAGGGAGAATCTGGCCCCTTTGGTTTCTGTAGAGGGTGGTGGAGCCCTGTGGGAATTTCCCTAATTAGGAAGGGTATTCAGATGTTAAGTAGGATTTAAAAAAAAAAAAAAAAAAATCCCACAGAGTTCCATTACAGAAAAGTTGAGGCCAGATTATGATTTACTGTTAATTGTGAACCAAGAGGTTAGTTTTTATCCAAGAAGAAACTGAACCAACAGAGCTTTTCAAAAAGAGTATGACATAATCCTATTATTCTTTTTTTAATTTTTTTAATTGTGATTTGGGTGAAAATTTAAGAGCAAATTGGTTTTCCATTCAATAATCCATACACATTCTGTTTTGTGACATTGACTACAATCCCCACAATCAATGCAACAGCAGCATTCTTCCCATTTCCATCCCATGCCACCACTTCCACTGTCCTTCCTTCCCATGTCCTGCCTTCCTTGCTCCATCCCTGGACAAATCCTGCCTTCTTGATCTCGTATCATTGATTGTTCTATTGAGAATATCACTGTTCACCTTTAGGCCAGTCTATCCTTTGACTGGAAGTTGGGCCACAGGGGTGGAGTTTGGTTCCCAGCTTGAAGGATGTCTAAGGGCCATAATCTTGGAGGTTTCACCAGTCATCAAGAAGACCAAGAAGCCTGAGTTGTTTTTTCTTTTTTAATGCTTTTGAGTTTTGTTGCACGTTTTCTCCCACTGTATCCGGGACCTCCTATAGTGATCCCTTTCAGAGCAGTCAGCAGTGGTAGACAAGGACCATCTAGTCTTCTGGTCTCAAGGTCTTGGATGTTGGAGTTCACATGGTTCATTTGTCTTTTGCACTAATTGTTCCCCTGCGTATTTGATTTTCTTCACTCTTGTTTGCTTCAGATGTGGAGGGACAAATAGATGCTCCTTAGATGGCTATTTGTAGAACATTGTATTTGTGTAACATGTTATGCCAGTTAATCTTAGCATCCCCTGAGACTCATTCCCTCAAGGTGTTTGGTTATAACTAAGAAATTTTCATAACTTTGCCCTCTGTATGCCCTAGTATCCATATTCATGGATATATTTGCAGCACATATAAATACATAGGTACAGATGTTGTTAGGTTGTTAAGTGCACTGAGTTGGCTCTGAATTTGTGATACTCTGTACTACAGAACAAAACACTGCCTCCTTCTGCGCCGTATTCAAGATCCTTGCTGTGCTTGAGCTGATTGTCACAGACGCTGTGTCAGTATCTCTCCTTGAGGTTGTTTTGGTTGTCTAGTGCTACTGTAACAGAAATACAAGTGATGACTTTAACAAACAGGGATTTATTCTCTTTCAGTTCAGGAGGCTAGAATATGAGTTCAAAGTGCCAGTTCTAAGGGCTGGGTGATTGCCCCTCAACCTTGGGCTTTAGCTCTGCCTCTTGTTCCTGGCCCACTGGAGGTGGAGGCTTCTCTTAAGTGTGTCAGCTGCTGGCTGCTGAGGCTGACAAACCCAAGGTTGACAAGTAAGATGGCACAGTTCCAAGATTATCAAGCAACAGGGCAGGCTACTAGTTCAAGTCCAGAAACAGTCCCAAGATTGGCACATAACATGTCGGGCTGCTGAATGAAGACTCAGCTAAATTCAGGATCCAAGTGTGTCAGAAAGCTCAAGACCTTTCTTAAAGCTGCTTCTTATATATTGGACCACATCCCTAAGGCAGCTACTCAGCTGCTCACAGAAGATTCTACCATGGAGTTGATTACCAGTGTCATCATGGGGAATAACTACATCTAGCTGCTCAGCCACTCAAAACCAGGACCAGCCAAATTGATACATAACCTTAATGACCACAAGGGTCTTCCCTGTTCTCACTGACTCTCTACCAAGCAGGATATCCTTCTCCAGGGACTGGCCCATCTGATAACATGACCAAAGTACATGACACAAAGTTGGGCTATTCTTGATTTTAAGAAGCATTCCAGCTGTACTTCTTCCAAGATGATTTGTTTGTTCTTCTGGTAGTCTGTGATATTTTCAGTATTCTTCACAAAAAATCCAAATGTATCAGTTCTTCTTCAGTCTTCTTTAGTCATTGTCCAGCTTTTGCATGCGTGTGAGGCTATTGAAAATACCACGGGTTGGGTCAAGTGCACCTTAGTCTTCAAAATGATATATTTGCTCTTAAACACTTTAGAAGGAGCTCTGGTGGCGCAGTGCCTAGGGCATTTGATTACTAACCAAAAAGTTGGTGGTTCAAATCCACCAGCCACTCTGTGGAAGGAAGATGGGGCAATCTACTTCTGTGAAGATTTACAGCTTTGGAAACCCAATGGAGGTTGCTATGAATTGGAATCAACTTGATGGCAGTGGGTTTGGTTTTTTGGTTTAAACACTTTAGAAAGGTCTTTTGCAGCAGATTTACCCAGTGCAATACGCTATCTGATTTCTTGACTGCTGCTTCCATGGGCTTTGCTTGTGGATCCAAGTAAAATGAAATTCTTGACAACTTCAATCTTCTCTCCATTGTTCATGATGTTGCTTATTGGTCAAGTTGTGAGGATTTTTGTTTTCTTATGTTGAGGTGTAATCCACATTGAAGACTGTTGTCTTTGATCTTCATCAGTAAGTGCTCCAAGTCTTCTTCACTTTCAGCAAGCAAGGTTGTGTCGTCTGCATATCACAGGTTGTTAATGAGTCTTCCTCCAATCTTGATGCCGTTTTCTTCTTCATATAGTCCACCTTCTTGGATTATTTGCTCATCATTCAGATTGAATAGGTGTGGTGAAAGGATCCAACCCTGATGTACACCCTTCCTGATTTTAAACCATGCAATATCCCCTTGTTCTTTTTGAATAACTGATCTATGTACAGCTTCCTCATGAGCACAATTAAGTGTTCTAGAATTGCTGTTCTTCACAATGCTATCCGTAATTTGTTATGATCCATACAGTCAAATGCCTTTGTATGGTCAGTAAAATACAGGTAGACATCTTTCTTGTCTTCTTTGTTTTCATCCAAGACCCATCTGACATCAGCAGTGATCTCCGTAGCTCCATGCTCTCTTCTGAATCTAGCTGGAATTTCTGGCAGCTCCCTGTTGATGTAATACTATAATTGTTTTTGAATTATCTTCAGCACAATTTTACTTGTATATGATATTAATTATATTGTTCCATAATTTCCTCATTCTGTTGGATCACCCTTCTTTGGAATGAGCACAAATATGGATCTTTTTCAGTCAATTGGGCAAGTAGCTGTTTTCCAAATTTCTTGGCATAAACATGCAGCTATTCCTATCACCAAGGCTGTATTTGCCAACTACTGATGCTTCCTGTTTGTTTCTAACTTTTGCATTCCAGTTACCAGTAATTATCAATTACTCTGCTGAAATCTGTCCATCATGGGTGACCCTGCTGGTATTTGAAATACCAGTGGCATAGCTGCCAGCATCACAGTAACATGTGAGCCACCACCATATGACAGACTGACAGACGAATGGTGGTAGGCAGAGATACCCTCTGTCAAACCCATACATATTTCTGGAGGTAGTCCCATTCACCTTCCCACCCATGTTCAACTTGATTATCTATCTATGTATCCCTTGTAGATTATTATTATTACTGCTGTTGCAGGATTGTGTATCTAGTAGTGTTCACCTTTGTTGCCTTTATTTTTTGTGCTCCTCTTTGTGGCATCTGCCTTGATCATTTTGTGCTGCCCTTCCCCTTATTATACATGCCTTTC